GGCGACCCAGGTCCGCGCCGGCCTCCCGGCGCGGCGGTGCTGGGTTTCCGCGGTCCGTTTCGGTGCTAGGGTGCTAGGTTGCCCTTTTTGTTGCTGTATTAGAACAAACGCCAGGTGGTGACCTGGACATTGGGCAGAGAGCACCACGCAGCAGTGTTCCTATGGGAACTTTGAGACAACAATGAAAACAGTTAAAAACCGTTACTTGGGGAAGTCTGTACAACGGCTACTTCTAGTTAAGTCAGCCTAGAGCATCTAAGGGGTTAGGAGGAAAGTGCTTGTGGGTTATCACAGTCCAAATACAACCAACTGGAATGGCTAGACTTTTACATTTTAAAAACATGATTAAGCGGGCGCCGGGGGCTCACGCCTGTCATCCTAGCAACTCAGGAGGCTGAGATCTGAGGATCGCGGTTCAAAGCCAGCCCAGGCAGGAAAGTCTGTGAGACTATCATCTCCATTAAACCACCAGAAAACCGGATATGGCGCTGTGGCTCAAGTGGTAGGGCTAGCTTGGAGCTGAAGAGGTGAGGGACAGCACCCAGGCCCAGAGTTCAAGCCCCACGACCTACAAAAACAAAAACCAAAAAACATAATTATACAGATCTTGTCATTTGTGCTTGTTAGCCAGATGTGCAGAAAATTTTCATCTACCTTTGCTGTGAAGATTAATTATGTTAGATGTAGTTATAATGTTAAGCTTGCATTGTGTCTTGGCTGTCATGTGGTAATTTATGTTTGTAGTCAATTGCATAACAGCTGGGGGCTACCGCTTAGCATTAGAACACCTGCCTAGCACATTCAACAACCCAGGTTCTAACTCAGTACTGTTTTTTTTGTTTGTTTTTGGTTTTGTCATGGGGCCTGAACTCTGGGCCTGGGCGCTGTCCCTCAGCTCTTCAGCTCAAGGCTAGCGCTCTACCACTAGAGCCACAGTGCCACTTCTTGCTTTTTTTCTGCATATGTGGTGCTGAGGAATCAAACCCAGGGCCTCATGCATGCGAGGCAAGCACTCTACCACTGAGCAACCTGGGGGGTGGGGGGGCAGCGTACTGTTGTTGTTTTTTTAAGCTAACTGAATTACATAACATATTTACGTAAGTCATTTCATTCACCCTTCCAAGGCATTTTTATTTTCTCGCTGGTTTTATTTATATGTGTATATTTTCATAACTGTGTCACAAAACCTACAAAAGTTTACATTTACATATATTTTAGACTATATTCCTTTTTTCCATCCCAAGTTTTTTTGTTTTGTTTTGTCTTGTTTTTTTTTTTTTTGGGTCCGGTCATCGGGCCTGAACTCTGGGCCTGGGCGCTGTCCCTCAGCTCTTCAGCTCAAGGCTAGCGCTCTACCACTTGAGCCACAGCGCCACTTCAGGCTTTTTTCTTTTTGCTTATGTGGTGCTGGGGAATCGAACCCAGGGCCTCAAGCATGCAAGGCAAGCACTGTACCACTGAGCCACCTTCCCAGTCCCCCAAGTTTTTTTTGGGGGGGTCCGGTTGTGGGGCCTGAACTCTGGGCCTGGGCGCTGTCCCTCAGCTCTTCAGCTCAAGGCTAGCACTCTACCACTTGAGCCACAGCGCCACTTCAGGCTTTTTTCTTTTTGCTTATGTGGTGCTGGGGAATCGAACCCAGGGCCTCAAGCATGCAAGGCAAGCGCTCTACCACTGAACCACCTTCCCAGCCCCTCTTCCCAAGTTTTTAAATTGAAAGCTTTCACTTGTATGAGAGTACATTGAGCCAGGTGTTGGTTATAATTCTTACTATTCACATTGCTGAAATTTGAAGATCTCTGTTAAAGCCAGCCAGGAAAAGAAAGCTTTTTCTGCTCAAGACTGGCACTCTATCATTTGAGCCACAGCCTCATTTCCAGCTTTTTTGGTCCTTAATTGGAGATGAGTCTCACAAACTTTCCTCAATTCTCAGCCTCCTGATTAGCTAGGATTATAGGCATGAGCCACCGGCACCTGGCCTGACTTTTTTTTCCCCAGTCCTGGGGGCTTGAACTGAGGCTAGCAATCTTACCACTAGCTACATAGCACCATTTCTGGTTTTTCTGTGGTATTGCAGAATCAAACCCAGGGCTTCATGCATGCTGGGCAAGTACTCTATCACTAAGCCACCTTCCCAGCCCCACCCTGACCTTTCTTTTGCAGGCATGGGGGAGGGGAGGGGGTTGGTTGTGGGTCTTGAACTCTGGGCCTGGGCCCTGCCCCTGAGCTCTTCTCCTCAAGTCTAGTGCTTTACCACTTGAACCACAGTGACACTTCTGGTTTTCTGGTGGTTAATTGGAGATAAGAGTCTTACAGACTTTCCTGCCTGGGCTGGCTTTGAACCATGATCCTCAGATCTCAGCCTCCTGAGTAGCTAGGATTACAGCTGTAAGCCACCAGTGCCTGGCTAAAAACACCTGTTTTAAGTGTAGTTTGCTGACTTTTGGCCACTGTAGACAGAAGGGCCTATACCTCCACAGTTAAGATGCGGCCTCTCCTATTGCTTCCGCTTTTCTCTGTGCCCTCCTTCACTCTGGCTCAGAGATAATTAATATGCTTTTTGCTGCTAAAATGTTGCCTTTACTAACAATTAAATGTAAGGCATGAATATATAAAAGTATGTGGTTGCGGGGCCCTGGTTGCAGTGCACCTATAATCGTAGCCATGAGGAGGCTGAGATCCAGAGGACCACAGTTCAAAGCCAGCCTAGGCAGATAAGTCCACAAGACCTTATCTTCAAAATAACCAGCAAAATTTAGGGCTGGGGATGTGGCTTAAGTGGTAAAGTTCCGGCTGAACAAGCAAAAACTGCATTCAAACCCCTGTACCTGGGGTGGGAGGAAAAGATACATAGTCTTTTGAATCTGGCTTCTTTGAAAAAATGGTAACTTGTAGTCTAAGCCAGTAGCTTTCTGAGCAGGGTCCCATTGCATGTATATCTTTGTACATTTATCCATTCCCTACTCTGAGCACTTGGCTTGTTTCCCTGTTAGGGATTCTGGTTAAGAAAGTTGCTTTGAACCTTTATGTACCAGTCTGTGTGAGCCTATCTTCCTGACTCCGAGATAAATTCCTAAGAGGAGAATAGCTGGTTTATGTGTGTTTTATATATTTAACTTTAGAAGAAGCTGCTAAGCTATTTCTTCTTGGGTGTGTGTGCTGGTTCTCGGGCTTGAATTCAGGGCCAGGAGCTCACCCTTGATTTTTTTCTGTCAAGGCTAGCGTATCAGGAGCTTTACTGTTCCAGCTGTTTCTTGTTAGTGTATGACCTAGCATTTACTGCACATCTTTGCTAACACTTGGGATTGCCTGGCTTTAATTTTAGCCATTCTAGTGAGGCAACTCCAAAGTGTTAAGAACTGGTTGTTCTCCATGCTTTGGTTAGGTAGTGATCCCATTGTTGACAGGCTGAGGTGCCACCGGTGTGGCTGTGGGCTGACTGCATGGGAGCTGAGCACCACCGTGACGGTTATTCAAGAGTTTTATTCATTTGTCCTCCCACACCAGAATGTGTTCCTTTTCACCCTCACTCCTGTTGCAGATGGTTCCCCTTGTATGTTGGCGACTTCCGTTTCTCAGGGGCTGTCATGAGCTGGGCTGTCATGTGGAAAGCACCTCGTACGGAACCGTGTGGTGGGGTCGTGTCACTCACCCGCTCACTCTGCCAATGAATTCTGCTCGCTCGGGGAGAGGGCAGCAGTGTGGCCGGGAGATTGGTTTAGGGGACTCCCTGGCCTGCCCTCCCTGCTTTGCTGCTTACTGACGAGCCCCTGGATGAGCTGCTTAACCTCTCTAAGCCTTAGCTCCCATTTAGAAGTGGGGCCCGTGGCGTGCCTGAGGCATAGCTCCTGCCACCTGCCACCGGATCTCAGTACCCAGCACCCTTTTCAGTTAAGAAGCCAGGGCTCCTTGGAGAAATGCAGATCTCGTAGCGCCAGAGAGTAAGGGAAAGCCGGGCACCGGTGGCTCATGCCTGTCATCCTAGCTACTCAGGAGGCTGAGATCTGAGGATCACGGTTCAAAGCCAGCCCCGGGAGGAAAGTCCTTGAGACGCTTATCTCCAATAAACCACTAGAAAACTGGAAGTGGCACTATGGCTCAAGTGGTAGAGCACTCACCTTGAGCTGAAAAGCACAAGGACAGTCAAGTCCAGAGTTCAAGCCCCACAACTGACCAAAAAGAAAAAGGAAGGAAGGCAGGCAGGGAGGGAGGGAGGAAGGGAGGGAATACTGAGAGACAAACAGGGCTGGGGCTGCCACCAAGTGATAGAGCACTTGGCTAGCATGTGCAAGGCCTCCGGTGCTGGATTCTTCAGTATCCCACCTCCCTCCAGCAATCCCCCATGGCAGGGAATTTTTGTTTGGTTTTGGTTTTTGTGCTGATACTGGGGCTTGAACTCAGGGCCTGGGCACTCTCCTTTAGCTTTTTTAGTTCTAGCACTTGAGCCACACAGCTCCACTACTAGTTTTTTTTGTTTGTTTTTGTTTTTGTTGTTTTTTTTTTTTTGATGATTAATTGTAGATCTAAGTCTCTCAGATTTTTCCTACTGGGCTGGCTTTGAACTGCGATCCTCACATCTCAGCCTCCTGAGTGGCTAGGATGACAGGCGTGAGCCACTGGTGCTGGCACCTTAGGTTTTTGTTTTGTTTTGTTTTTGGCCAGTCCTGGGGCTTGAACTCAGGGCCTGGGCTCTCTCCCTGAGCCTCTTTGTGTTTAAGGCTAGCACTCTACCATGAGTCACAGAACCACTTCCAGCTTTTTCTTTTTTTTTGGGGGGGGGTCGTGGGGCCTGAACTCTGGGCCTGGGCGCT